AGACATGCGGGGGGGGGGGGGTAAAAGGATCAAAGAAGGGGTGAATTGAAATCAAAAACACAGTATTCATTCATTTAGCTCTGCTATAGCAGAGCAAATCTAGGGTGACTCAAGGGACACAGTGTCTTGTAAAACATATGTACTTAATATAAGGGTCATAAAACTTATTAAATTAAAAGCTAGGTTAAAAATAGGAAGAAAATTTATGCGGCTGTCTGAAATAGCAATAATTTCCCTTTGGCCTTTCCCTTTGCTTGCAACCAACATGAGCTTTCTTTCTTTCTTTTCCTTTCTTTCTCTTTCATTCTTTTTGGCAAAGAGATCATATTTTGGAATGGAAGTGTCTCAGTAAGTAGGCTGTTTGATTGCTCATACACTAAACCTTAAGGCTTAAGGTAAACATAACTGGGTGCTAACAAGGAAATGGGGCTCTTCAACGCCTCATTCTAGTGGGAGAAAAAGAGTGAAGATGGCTGTGATCCAAAGTCTGAACATGCAAAGTCTTCCTACTTTCTGACATAGAAGGAAAATGGTTAATGTGCCAGGGAGCATATTCTGCTTCAGAGACTGAGCAGTTCTCTCATAAAAGGATTCTGGGATACTGCTGGCAGACATGGCCACCAGACCACAGGATGTAAAAAGTGCTGTGTGAAATTCTTCAGCAGGCATTGTCAGTATTGTCATATTGTGATATTGTGATGTCTGGTATCAGTTCACCATGTGACTGAAGCAACACCACATGATGACTTGCATGTCATGTCTAAATCAAGAGCCTGAAACAAGAGTCTTCTGTCTGCAATCGCAATGTTTTTCGATGGAGACACAAAACATTGCATGTACAGTAATTAAATGCAAAGCAACCAAGTGATGCGAAGCAGTCCTTTATGACTAGAAGCTCAATATGTGAACTGACACCATAGAAAAGTATTGTTTCGGAGGTGGCATGGGTTGATAGTGTGACATCCGAAACAATCCATTCATTCATGCATGCAAGTTATCACTTGGTATTGCCATCATCAAGTGAGGAACATGCTACTGTGAACCTTATGGATTTGCCTAGGTCCGAAAATGTTTCTAGCTTTCCAAACATGCCTGAAGTGGCCATTTTTGCAATGGAATTAAAGCACCAGGCGTTGTTAGCTATAGCTTGCAACCAGCACTTCATTGTTCAACCTGATGGGATGGCCCATTCTCAAACAAGTCATCTGAATTTAAAACTAAGGCTCAGACTCATCCACTCATGCTCATTCCTGAAACATAGCTGGGTTTTTTTGGGTAGAATTTAGCCCAGGGACATAGGAATTATATATATTTTAAAAGGACATATTTTAAAAGGACATTAGGTCTGTGAATCTTCAAAGTGACTTATTGTACCACATTGGCCATTACATAAGTGGCCATTACATAAGTGTGTATTATGTAGGGAACATAGTCAGGCCAGAAAGTGTGACTGTGACAAGTGAGTGAGCATTTGTCAAAATTATTGCCAACTTGGACCTCTTCTTCTGATATCAGGTTTATTTGGTGCAGTTAGAAGACCAAAAACTAGTCCACTTTTTTCTTGGGCGGGAAATGACACTGAAATTGGCAGCCTTTATGAAATTTAAGCACACTGTTAATCATGTAATTATAGATGAAATATTAAAGAAGTGGACTAATTACACACAATACTCTTGAGCCCAATTAAAGTAGCATCTGTAGTGTAACGTAAGGGTATTCTCTTCCACTAATAAGAGATACTTTTTTTAACAACAGAGAATAAAACAGCTAAATTGGATAGGCAGTGGAGATTATAAATTTCCTATTAGCATATAAAATGAGGATTAACCTTATTTAATCACTTCATGCTTGATCATCAAAAGTCATGTTTCACCTCTATAATGTAGCTGTATCTAGTCTGAGGGGGGCGGGGAAATCATTAACACGTTTAGTTAACAACATGGTTTTCGTCTACTGACAAGAGCTGATAGCAACAAGTAAAGCCCCCTCCCAGGTCATTTAGAAACATAACAAAGAGCTTCATTCTTCCATATAGTTGGGTGTCCTTCAGCTAAAGTCAGAGGGACTCTGGCAGCCTAGATCCCGTCCACTTACAGGCAGACCAAAAACAACCATTGGCTTTCAGGACACTGGCTTTCAGGTCCTCCTACAATTCCTCCACCAAAGAGGAACTCCAAAGAAGGTAAAAGTAGTGCTTGTGATCCTGGTATAGTTGTGATCCAAGGAACTGTAAGCCATTCATTTAAAGACAGACAGGAAGTCTATGAAAATGGGAGCTGTGGGACAAAGGGTTTTCTGGGATTGTGTTGGCCAGCCTGCAGCACCTAGTGTCACCTCTCTTGCTGTTCTGTAGGGTCCTGCAACCCTATAGAGAAGCTCTGCAGGGCATACAGGATTGGGAGCTTGCCTGCAAAGAGTCCTACACAACTGTGAGCAAATACTGGGCTTAAAGAAAAAGCCTCTGTGCAATAGATAGAGCCCTTGGTCACCTCATTCAGTTCCTAAGGAACTTCTCTGCTCCCTTGAATCTTTTTTTTAACAATGAAGTTCTATCCTTTCCCTCTCTTCCTTTTCCCCTGTAGAAACTTCATTTTGCCTCCAACCACCTATGAATTGTTGAAATAAGGACCTTTGGAGGTTCAGCACAGGCTGGCTCTACAGCGACGTAGCTTGCCTAACACACTCAGTGAGCTCACAGGGGCATGCAATGTTCATTTCTTAGGATGTCTTGCTGCAGATATGCACCCAATGTGTGGATAGGGTCGAGGTGTGTTTGGCACAATGGGCAGGAGCACTTGCCACCCTGCTGTCCTGTTGCATGATGTTGAACACCTGAATAAGGCTATGTGCACATCGCAGGTTAACCTTATTTATTTATTTATTTATTTATTTCAACACTCAGTAGACCATTTGATCACGTTCATCTCTAAGTGGTGCACAAGCCTAATCATATGCATGTTTGTTTGGAAGCAATTCCCTACGGAAGCTAGTGGGATTTATTCCTAAATTGGAGTGCCCAGGATTTCAGCTTGGATCTCTGAAGGCTTCTTTGATGAATGCTGTAGTTTGTGGACCACAGAGGAAGGTCAGGATGTCCTCCTTCCAGTCCAGGGGTCCTTTACCTTTAGTGGAGGAACTAATAAAGATTCATGAATGATTCCTGTGCAACCGCTGATGTTTTTCGCTTGCAAGGATCCACATGCCACATTCTCAAGGACTAAAGGAAAGCTATATATATATATATATATATATATATATATATATATATATATATATTAAATGTCCAGTAGCACCTTAGAGACCAACTAAGTTTGTTCTGGGTATAAGCTTTCATGTGCATGCACACCTCTTCAGATACTGGACATTTTAAATATTTTTTAATATATTTCGACTGCCTCAGACCAACACGGCTACCTACCTGAATCTAGAACTAAAGGAAAGATATTATGAAGTGCCTTTCATGGAATGCATACGTTAAGGTCTGATTTTCCTTGTACACATGGAATGTGGATGCTACACTGAGAGTCAGTGTGGCATAGCCATTAAGGCTGTGATCTCTGTACTGAAAATCCAGAGTTTGTCTCAGACATGGGGTTCAGCCATACTCTTGCTTCTCCTGCCCCTTGGGAAAGCTCAGTCTTTAACACTGAATCACAGCAAATGCCAACAGGGTTTTCCTTAGACTAACCTTTTCCCTGATTTAGTGCTAAAGGGTGGGTTTTCCCCAGGAAAGCAGCGGGACAAATAGAAAACTGCTTGGGCCCTTGCCTAGGAAGCATGGGGGAAGAGGAAAATCGCTCAGATCCACAGGACAAGTGGGGACAAGCCCTCAGCCATGTCTTCACAGGACAAGCTACTATTTCTCAGCCTCTTCCCCTTCGCCATGGAATATGCGAATAAAAAGACTGTCCTCTCTGACATGCCTGCTGCAAGGATTTACTGAGATAGTGTGTCTGTGAGATGCTTGAACAATTTAGAAGGAAAGTGGCACATGAGCACTTAGTATTCTTAGGAGAACAGCAGATGGGAAAAAGTCAGATATTTCCATGATTTCTCCCAGAAAGTTCTCCACCAAAACTGTAGCCTTTAATTTTTTCCTGCTAGTCTTTGGAAACTACTTCAATTGGTACAAACAAATAAATGAAAGCAACATTATAGCAGGAGTGTCTGTAAACTGCTGCAAAAGCAGCACCATATTTTAGTGGTCAAAGGCTCTAAACACTTCTGAATACTGAAAACAGTTGTGACAGATAGCTGTTTGTGTTCCTAAACTGGTACTCTTCAAAATTAGCACTTGTCGAAGTCATCTTTGCCACTCACGCCACCTTTCCCACTTGTGGTCTGTGTCTCTTGCTTATTTTTGGTCCAAGAACTCACATCTAGTAAAACTTGCAGTGCAACCTAGGATGCAAATTGAAAGTGACTGGGAATAAAATGGGCCTTTCCATTCTGAGGGATTTGAGGTGTTGTACTGTCAGAGGACTGTGGGTGAAGTGACTGAATCCAGAAACATATTGAGAACTGTAAGGTTTCCTGCTGAGTCTGACATCAAACACATGATAGAAAGTCAGCTGGCTGCTTTTGAAAATGTGAGTTCAGGGACACTGCTGCAAACAAAATATGAGAACATATGTAAAGTAGCCTTCTAGTTTTCAAGGTAAAAGAGGTCTCTGCTCCCCCCACTTTCCCCTTTACTTCTAAAAATATTTATGCTTAATTTAATCTCCACTAATACCAAATGTACAAAACATATTTTGAAAAGCCTGCTCTCAATGCCAGTTGAAATGTTATGGTGAAATGTCATGGAAGCTACCAAAACTGCTGCTTTGCGGCAGTGGTTCGGTGTGGGGGACATGATGACATAAGCTGCTTTTTCACATGCATCAGCCCAGATGTGTTTGTCCCAGAGATGACCAAGAATGTGTGGCACCAACACAGAACCCCCCCATGTTGATCAAACCAACCCACATGTTGGGCCATCTGCAAATGTTATGGGTCCTTGATCAAGTCATGGATGGCAGTGGTCTTATGAATCATTGACCTGGCATTGCACAGCAGCACCTTCAGGTCATGTGGGTATCCCTTGCTGATTCTAGTATTCGTCTGGTCAAGACCAGACCCGGAGGCAGGGATAGTCCTCAGACAATGACTAAACCTGCCTCCTCTATAATGACATGGTCTGGTCTTAGCACAACTCCTCCTCCTATCCGTGATCACTGAGATCGGTTGTTCCAGTGCATCCCCCCCTGTGGAACATGCCCCAGCCATTTTGTTGGCTGGGACCCACTCCCCGGCAGCCCTGACCCCTCCCCTTAAGAACAAAATAAAACCTTTTTAAAAAACCAAACACAATAAAACAATACAAACAAAAAACTGTAAAAATTACAAATACATCAAAATCAAACAAATTCCCAAGCCCAACCAAACATCCACCCCCCCACCCCACATACAAAAAATTCAAATGGGAAAAAGAAAATTTTAAAACATTTTAAAAAGAACTCTGCAGCAGTAGCAGCAACCGTCCTTGTGAGGCCTGTCAGGCCCCACCCTGGGCCAGGTGGTGAGTGGCAGGAAGTGTGGACAAGCCCTCAGCCCTGTCTTCACAGGACAAGCCGCTATTTCTCAGCCTCATCCCCTTCGCCATGGAATATGCGAATAAAAAGACCGTCCACTCTGACATGCCTGCTGCAAGGATTTACTTTGTGGAGTCACTGTGTGTGCCTGTTTTATGTTTAATGAAGATGCTGTAATATTTGTAGCATACATGGACTTTCTCAAGCCACCTGAAATATCTGTTGGCCTACAGGAAAGCATATGGGGAAAGCAACTGTTTTGCCTGGTCAGTCGTAAGTTCAAAAGGAAAGGAGAGGAGAGGCAGGATGAAGGGGGTAGGCAAGCTAAAAGTGTGCTCAGTCTGGTTATTACAATCACAATGAAACAGAATGAAATTTATGTGGGAATGTTGAGGGTGGCAGGAGAGGATATATTGTCTATTAATATCCTTCCTAACTTGCGCTAGCAAGTTTCTTCACTTAGCAGAGTGCATTCCCCATCTTACGCAGCAGAAAGCGGTTGCAAACTCGTATGAGTTTCTCAAGACAACAAGCAATTCAATCTGGCTTGTCCAGATTGAGATCTGTTCTAACATTCCTGGTAAGACCCCTTTTGAATCCCTCCTAAAAGAATGAAGACACCACAGTCTTTTTCATAAGTAACAAAAAGAAGTTTTACTCACGATCAGGCAGAGCACAGTGTGATCCCTGAAGGCAGGCGTTAGGTTTAAAGTTACAAACATGTACAAACAGGTTTACCCCATATGAGAGATAACCTGGGGAACTGCTGTGGCAACCAGCAGTACAGTCCAGGTGATGCAGAAGCAGGCAGGATGAACAGGAAGGTCGAATAGAGGAAGGTAGCAGCATGACTTGGCCTTTTACCAGGTCTGGAAAGGTCACGCCCACCTACTACAGTGGACCCTCTAGTTATGTACCACTCTGGATATGTAACTTTTTGGGTTACGAACGTGGGTTTTGCCATGTGCGCATGCCCATGTGCTCAATCGTGCCGCGCATGCATGCAGAAGCGGCACCTCTGCCTATGGACTTTTCGGGTTGTGGACGGACCCCCAGAATGAATTTAATTCGTATCCGAAGGGTCCACTGTAGTCACATGCAAGGAAGGATGCTCCAGGCCAGGAGGAACAGGAAGTTTCGACTGGCTGGACCAAACATTCCCTTGCATGTCCACTCTAGCAAAACAAGGAATGTTGTACTTGACTGCTCCCAGTGGATTACATCCCACAATTTACCCAGTGGCTGTAGGAACTGATGGCAGCATGGTCATAATACTGGAAACTTCCAAGTCATCGCAGAGGCAGCTGCAGCAGCAGTTCTCAATCAAATTATACAAAGGGTGCAATAGGTTCACTATTCCCTGTGCTTCTCTTCTTGGGAAAAAGGGTGCTGGTACTGTGTACCCTTGCATACCCCTCCGAAAAACACTGACTATTCCACACCTCCCTTTCAAGCTTCTGGTGCTCAGAAATGTGCCCCCAGCCTTTATAAAGAGAGCAGCATCAAATCATGGCCTCCAGGAGGCCATCCAAGGTGGAAGCGTCAACTTCCGCTTATCTGCAGCCTCTTGGTTGAGGGTATCACCTGAAAAGGGGCACACTAAAAATGAGCACAGACATTAAAATGTTTGAACTGATGCTTCGGCTGCAAGCATGTGATAGTCCTCTGTGTGTGTTGCATTATGACACTTGTGTGGGATGTAAACACAGGAGCAGTCAATGACAACATTCCTAGAGTGTACATGTTAGAACATGGGGAGGGATGTCTGTCCAGCAAGCAGGTAAACTTCCTGGGGACGGACTCCTCCGCATGTGACCAGAGGTGGGTGTGGCCTCACCTGTGCAGGTAATGACAAAAGCACAGGGCAGGCAGCCACTCTCTCTCTCTGCCATTTTCCTTCGATGAGGAAACATCTAAGGATGCTCTCTTGACTCCCAGCCAAGAGAGGAGATAAGGACTATCTTGCTACAAGATAGATTCTAAATGTATGTAACCTTTTTAAGCTGTCTGCCTTGTGGGATCGTATTGTGAACAGAACGTGAGTAAACTCTTTTATACTTTTATAAAGACTGTGTCGTGTCTTGTATTTTAAGAGGGAACAAAAGGGGAAATTACCAGAGTAATTATTATAGAGGTTCTAGCGAACCTGTGCACACGTTACCGTTGCGAACTTAAAGGGGAATGTCTATAAACTCTGCTGATATTTTGGGAACTTGTTAGCACAAGTTGGATAAGGATATAATTAGTCAATATATCCTCTCCTGCACCCCTGAACATTCCCACAACTTGTACAACGTGTGATGTTGCTCTGGGAAACATGCAAGGGAGCAGACGGCAGAAACATCTAAAGAGGCTCATACTGAACCAGTGATGAGCCTTGTGAGAAGGCCAGCAACAGTGCAAACTCCAGCAGAGGCCAGAAATTGGAATATCTTCTGTCGCCATGCATCCATTTTGCCTGTATCACTTGCCTGCGCTGGGTATACCCACTTGAGCTGGCCTTCAGACCAGGGCCGTCTTAAGCATATCCGGCGCTATGGTGCAAAGATCCCTCCAGCGCCCCCCCCCATACCCCAGAGTTGTCGACCCCTTTTTTTAGGGTGGGAACACCAGCAGCGCCGGAGGAAGCCTCTTGGGATGGGATGGCGCTGCCAGTGACGCGCCCAGCTTTGTGGGGCTGGAGGAGGCGGGCAGCAGCTGGAGGGCGGCTCCGGTGATGAGGAGGTGGAGGCTGGACATGGGGTCTCCCGGCTCAGCTGGCTGCTTCGTGCTGTGGTGGCCATGGCAGGTGAAGGCTCCAGGCGCGGTGCTGCTGTAGCATGGCATGGCGGAGGCGGGTGAGGGCAGCGAGTGGGCCGGGGGAGCCAGCCCCGTGGAGATCCGCGGCGCCTGATGCCTGGCTCAAAGACGAAGACGCCAACAGGATGGGCGCCATGCATGTCTGCGCCTCAACCCATTGGGCGAGTGAGCACACCAAGTGAGCAGGCCTGCGCTGAGCAAGCAAGCACGCGTGTGCCACTCCCGCCAAGCGTCGGCTCAGTTCCCCCCCCTTTAGCCTTCTGACGCCCCGCAGAATTCGGTGCCTCGCTCAGTGCACTCATTCGGTGTTCCCCGAACTCTCGCCTGGTACCTTCTAGAACTTGGCACCCCGCACCACTAGCATCTATGGGTAAGACGGCCCTGCTTCAGACATTACGCTACATCAATGGAAGGGCAATGATCCCTGTGTTAGCGTCAGTGGCGTAGCGTGGGGGGTGCAGGGGGGGCCGGCCGCACCGGGCGCAACATCTGGGGGGGCGCGCTCGCACTCGCAGCTCTCTAGTGGAAGAGACTAGTGGAAGAGACTCTCTAGTGGAAGACTCGAGTGCTAAAATCCACGGGTTAGGGGGTGCAAATTACTTGCCTTGCCCCGGGTGCTGACAACCCACGCTACGCCACTGGTTAGCGTAACAAAACAACTGATGTGCTCCAGGATTCCTAAAGAATGACGGTCTTTCAAAAGAGGTTGATGTGTTTCAAATATACTGAACACCTAGCATTCTCCACCCTCCCCCTGCTAGTGATATTTGCCCAAGTTTTCAGATGCTAAGAATGCTGGATTAAAGCAGAGCTGAGCTCTTTTGAGAAATCTTATCCCAGCAACAAGTAATGAATCAACCTGAGTGCTAATTTTTCGGCATGAATATGCACAGCAAATTAGTCTCAGATTTGCTGCATTGTAGGTAAGTGGTCTCATTGTGACTTTAGGTAGTTGGAACTTCTGTAAGACGGGTCTGACTGGGAAATGATCTTTATTGACAAGATCAAAGGAATGCAAAGAGGAGGGTTGCGTTTCATTGTAACAGGAAGACAGATGATCTCTCTGTGTCCTTATTGTAATTCATTGCTTGTTTTCAGGGCCCATAATAAAAGTCTGGCATAATACACAGAGGACTTGGTTAAATTGTAAATGTGAATTACTTCAAGCACTCTGTAGAAATATTCTCCACTCCCTATTGCCATACATTATTTTTTGCTAAGCTTATAGCAGCTCACATTTCCTGGAACTATCCCACACGGTTTCATTCTCCCTACACAACATCACTTTAAAATTGTGGAGCTCTCTTTTTAATCAACCTTTGTATCAGCTACAAATTTGCCGTATGACCTAATTTGAAAAATGTCTCAAAGTGCTGACTCAAACTGTTAGTGAATAAAGGCCAGTCATTACCACCATGACACTAATGTGATGCAAAATAAAATTGAGTTGCATCAGCTGAACATTAGTTTACAAAAATGTTAGTGATTGAAGCCATTTTCTCTTCATATTTTATTTATACTTCTGAGATTTATACTTTTTTCCTTCTTTCAAACAGCTTGGCCACAAAATTTCCCTGAGTGTGAGCGCAAAGAAACATTTTAATCTCTCTCTCTCTCTCTTTGTGTGTTTGGTGGTGAGGAGGAATCAAGCCAGAAACATACATTCAATCTGCATTATATGCTTATCAGATCCTAAGCCTGCCTTGCATAAAACAGAGGAATGCACATTATTTTACAACTTTTATTAAAATATTTATACAGAAACATATGAGAACCTTCATTCTAACAGGCCATTTTACTTTGCCTTCTTGGATGATATTTCACAGCCCCCCCCACCCCCGCTAATAGAGTTAAGAACTTAAACTGCATGCAGACCTGGAAATGGAATATTCAAGTGTATGGAAGTGCACGTAGGGCTGTTGTTTCCAGCTGATTTTCTTCATTTTAAGAGATTGGAAAATATAAGCAGAAACACTATTATTATTATTATTACTGTTGTTGTTGTTACTATTATTTTGCAAGAAAACCAAACAAACAAAAGTGTTACAAAGGATACCCTTTACATTTTCTCACTTTTGTTCGTTTCTAGAAATCGTAGTTCTTGAAGGAAGTTCTGCCTTTTCATTAAGAGTTTCAGATCAGGGCCTGTTACAAATGTCACCTACCATCCGTGGGAAGTAGCCCCTCCATTATGGAATTCCCTTGCTCAGGGAGATTTGTCTGTCTACCCTTCCTCCTTCTGTGAGAAAGCAGGCAGATCCTATTTTCTTTTGGTGAGAATCTTGCTTTTTAGAATTGTAAAAGCTGATTTGGCTTTTACTGGTGTTCTTACGGAACTGTTGCTAATTTCTTGCATTATTTTTTGTATATTATTGATGAATGTTGTGTTGTCTTGAAATGCTGTTTTAGTGCTGCAGTTATGTTTAATGTAAAATGCTCTGGGAGCTTTTGTATAGATATATATTAAGAAATCAGCATCAAAGTTAAATAGGTTCACAAGGTTTAATGACATGCATATTTGGTCTTGTCCAGTGTTGCTGTTCTGGATTTGTGAAAATATTCATAGTCATATTCATTTATTTCTGGTTCTAGATTCAGGTACGTAGCTGTATTGGTCTGACGCAGTCAAAATATATAAAAAAACTGTCCCGTAGCACCTTAGAGACCAACTAAGTTTGTTCTTGGCAGTGGCGTAGCGTGGGGGGTGCAGGGGGGGTCGGCCGCACCGGGCACAACATCTGGGGGTTAGGGTTAGGGGGCGCAAATCCACGGGTTAGGGGGCACAAATTACTTGCCTTGCCCCGGGTGCTGACAACCCACGCTACGCCACTGGTTCTTGGTATAATCTTTTGTGTGCATGCACACTTCTTCAGATACATAAGGGTCTGGTGACTTCTGTTTCAGTGTAGCTGAAGAAGTGTGCATGCACACAAAAGCTTATAGCAAGAACAAACTTAGTTGGTCTCTAAGGTGCTGCTTCCCTTTTGAAGGAAATGAGCCCTGAGTGCTCACTGGAAGGACAGATCCTGAAGCTGAGGCTCCAATACTTTGGCCACCTCATGAGAAGAGAAGACTCCCTGGAAAAGACCCTGATGTTGGGAAAGATGGAGGGCACAAGGAGAAGGGGATGACAGAGGACGAGATGGTTGGATAGTGTTCTCGAAGCTACCAGCATGAGGGAGGCAGTGGAAGACAGGAGTGCCTGGCGTGCTCTGGTCCATGGGGTCACGAAGAGTCGGACACGACTAAATGACTAAACAACAAGGTGCTATTGGACAATTTTTAATTTTTTTTAAATATATTTCTTTCCGGGTTCAAGAGCTCTGAAGTGCACATGATGCCTTCAGGTTTGCAACATAGGAAAGCGCCTCATATCAAGCCAAACCATTGGTCCAGCTTGCTCAGCATCATCAACACTGAATGTCAGAGGCTGCCCAATGCTTCACCTGGAGTGAACCTGCAGCCTTTTGCATGAGAAGTAAGTGCTTTGCTCTTTTCTTACACCACCTTGAGCCATGGAGAAGCAAGATAGAAATGTATTCCGTAAGTAAAGTTCTGCTTCACTAGTCTCTATGCGGAGCATTTTGTGTGTGTGGAGGATGTGAGTTGGGGGTGCAGGGAGGAGAGAGACTGTGTGAGCTGTCTTCTCCTTACACAACCATTGGACATACCCCTTAGAGTTAATTCAAGAAAATGGCATCCCTGTTAGATGTAACAGGGTGTCTACATTATAACATAAAAAGGTAAAGGTAAAGGGCCCCTGACAGTTAAGTCCAGTCGCAAACGGGTTGCGGCACTCATCTCGCTTTACAGGCCAAGGGAGCTGGAATTTGTCCGCAGACAGTTTTTCCGGGTCATGTGGCCAGCATGACTAAGCTGCTTCTGGTGCAACAGAACACCAAAACCAGAGCAGCGCACGGAAACGCCGTTTACCTTCCCGCTGGAGTGGTACCTATTTATCTACTTGCCCTGGTGTGCTTTCAAACTGCTAGGTTGGCAGGAGCTGGGACCGAGCAACGGGAGCTCACCCTTTTGTGGGGATTCGAACCTCTGACCTTCTGATCGGCAAGCCCAAGAAGCTCACAACGCCACCCGCGTCCATTATACTGCATTATAATGTAGGTGTCTACATTACCTCCAGGTATACCCACAAACATAAAAAGGAAATGAACTATGAAGCATAATCGTAGTAGCAGATTATGCTCTGCAGCTATTATTTTAACTTGTTTTATATGACGGATTTCATTAAAATTAAAGCATGTCGCTTTTAAAAAAAGTCTTTCTTCCACTGGGTATGTATGTATTCTGTTATTCCAAATTCACTTGCCTCATGTTCTTAAATAGACCTCTGACCAGAGCATTCCATCTGAAGTGCATTTTCAGTCCTTCACCCATCACTCTCCCCACCTCCCATAGAACTGTACACATTTGGAAAAGCCTTTTTTCCCCTGTATGGAAGCAGGAGGAAAATACTTTGTCAGCATCACCAATGCAGATGTCCCCAAGCTGTCCTCATCCTGTGGTTTCTGCTGAAATTGACCAATTCAGGAGAAAGCAGCTTCAAGGCAGTTTTACTAACACTAAGCAAAGTCCACTCCTTTCCTTTCCGCCATTGCTGCTGCTGTGAGGAGGGGAAAGGGAGCTTTTGCTGTTGTTTTCCTTCAAAGGGACATGTGTGTGTACCAGCATGGTGGGCACAGCATCAATCAATCAATCAATCAATCAATCAATCAATCATGAGCACCAGTGGAACTCATAAGGCTTCCCTCTCCTTCCCTTATGTCAGTTTCATTGTGGCATAGGGAGAATAGTGGAGTACACGGCAATGGGATGAGCAAAGGGAATATTTCTGGGATTTCAGGAGAGTTGTCACAGGGATAGAATGGATCGTGTTACCATGATTTGCAGGAGGAAGGTGGGATAGCAGGCAGCCTTCAGGATAGGCAAGTGGGGGGTTGACCTTGCAGGGTGGGTGAGATATTTAAATCAGGAGTAACATAACTGGTGAATTGTTATAATGCACATTAAATGAAGTGGGGGAAGATTTCTGAGTGATAATTAAAGCACTTTAAAATGCATGTATAATTTCAGCCTTAGTGATAGTGGCAGATGTAAGAAAGCTGGTGGTGTGTGTTCTGCTTCCTTCCTTTTCTCTCCCTCACCTCATGAAGCCTTTCTTGGTTTTTTACCTTTTTAAAATCTAAAACATATGTGTATTTTATGCAACAAATACCCAGAACCATAGCCTTTTTTTTAGATAAAATGAAATTATTGCCACTCTTCATAAGACATCAAAGCAAATTCAGATTATTGCAAATGATATGCAAACCTTTTAAATTTTTTTTGCCCTGTGCATTCGTAAAGTTCACCACGATTTGTGAAAATATAATATTCATTATGATGTTGAATTGCATTTTCTGCAGCCCCATTCCATGGCATTAATTAATGTAATACAAGGATGACGACCGTCATTACCACTGGGCTGGGTGTCTTTGTCCATCCTTGCAAAAGCGAAGGGTAAAGAACCACCTGAAGCTTTTAAAATTGTTGTTTAACCTCCCACCCTTCACTTCCCATTGCAGCACTGCTTTCGGACAATGTCTGATGATCTGAAAGCTTGTTGAAAAATCCTGAGACAAATACTAACTATAATCAATATATTAAAAAAATAAAGGGGGGGGGGGAGGAGGGAACGCAATGAAAATTTATGACCTTAACATTCCTTCAGGGTCAAGCCATTTATCAAATTCCCTCACTCTGGTTTCAATTACACAGCTCTTGTGGAAGGAACTTATTTTAGCAGGTCCATTTGCCTCAGTAGGGAATACAGGACTTTGGCCTAATGCTTCACCTTCAATGCAGGCTATTTGAGCCTTAGAACAAATACCAATCATCACTCTTTGGGAGGAAAAAAAATCTGCATCAGAGTGGCCTATTGGTATGGGATTCCTGTCAAGGTAAACGGTTGTCGGCAATGACTGTGGTAGAGTGGGTGATAAATCCCATTTTATTGCTGAAAAATTCCAGCCTCTCTCCATGCCTGACAGCTCCCCACATTCTCATACACATTTGGGCAATTTCTGCACTATGTCCATCTGGTTCTTATTACCTCTCAACCTGCCTGTGTCTGGTCCAGAAAAAAAGTGCAGGTCACAAACAGGGGAAAGAGACCAAGGTGTTGGGCAAGAAAGAAAGAAATGATCAGGGCAGCAGCTAAGTCTATCAAGCTAGTACTTTTATAGCCTGTGTAAATATACCATCAGGTAGCTGTGATCAGAGGCATAAGGTTTGAATGGACTAAATCAGACACTTAAGAATGCATAATCTCTCCATTAGAACATAGTGGAAGCAAGTTCACACACACAAGCTTCCCAACCCAGTATGATCCAGACCAGCTACAATTATGGAAATTGGGCTGCCTCACCAGCTGCAGCTAATAGCAATTTGTATGGTGACAATACACTTCTTCTGCCTGTCAGGGCCATAAGGTGGCCAGTGCCTTGTGCACTTGCATGCAGCCCAATTTACATCAGCATTTTCCTATGTGGTACAGGCATGGCCACACTCAACATGTGTGAACAAGTCCACTTTGTTCCAATACAGATCCTGTATTTAGCAGAGGGCTCTGCTACACGGCCATCAAGGTCCCTTACAAATCGAGTTGTGCATAAATTGCATCATGTTGCAAGATATATCTTGGTAATCAGCAGCTGTCTGCTGTGATTGTTGAAATTATGGAAACACTAAATGCAGATCAAATCAGCGGAAGTGAATGTTTGGTCCATGGGCTGCAATGGCTGAAGACCTTTTCTGAAGGCTGGGTAGCCCAATCCTAGAACCACAAGACCGTTCATCCGGGCGGGGAGTGCTTTGGTAGTATCTGTGTAATGTGGACCATTACCCCGAATCTCAAGACATGTTTTTAAAGAAAGTGTTCTCCATTTAGAAGTTTGAAGACATTTGTCCTAAGGCTGTGGTCACAGGCTCATTCAGTCTGAAGCACGTTTCACTGATGTTAGCTGGATTTGCTTCCATGTTAAGAATATTGGGAAAGAGGTTGCAGATCCTGAAGGCAAAAATTAATATAAAATTATTGTTAACTTGTATCCAGGATGCTGAATGATAGATGATCCCTAATGAGAAATAAATGCACATAAGAAAAGACATGCCAGATGAATCACACAAACTCAGTGTTAAAAAGTATGAAACATTTGAGTATTTTATTACATTAAAGGTATGGGATATTTCAGGAAAATCCACAGTCCATTTGGTAAAAATAACCCTTTTGCACAATCCATCTCAACTTTCTAGCTTCTATCTGTTCATTTGATTCATTTGGAAATAATTCTAGAGACTTTGGTTGATTCCTTTGATTAAATCTCATTTTAAAGAGTACTTTGCAGATACCTTTAGAGAGTGGTTTCTTGCCAGTGTCTGTTCTTGTGTATGCAGCTGTAAAGGAATTACTAGATAAATTAATTTTTTCGCGCCAAAAATGCATTTTCTACAACATCCAAGAACCAACACCTTCAAATTACAAGGAATATACAGAGAGCTACATATTTTTTGATGCGCACCATTTTCCCATGGTCTGTCTTTCTTGCCATCTTCTGTTATATGGCTATACCATGAAGTGTGATGTTCCCCTCTTGAAAATAGGGGACCTGTGGCATCTGGGACAGGATCTCTTTCCTTTAAAGATGACTTTTATATTAGAACTTTAGCATTTATTTAATGGGATATAGGTTGTCACCTGTATAAACAAGTTACTTGGTTGCAATGCTGTTCCAGCACACCAGTGTTGCTGAGTATGGGGACGGGGAGATCCCTGTTATCAGACCAAAACTATGATGTGCCCATGGGCAGGGGGCTTGCTGTCCCCCCCCACCCCCACATCAAGTTAATAAATAAAAACACTTAACTAAAAGTAGAAGTTGTAGAAAGGTTTTGACAGATTTTTCTGAGCGCTTGGTGGGGTGTGTGTGTCAAAAGAGAGTAATTTAAAACAACTGTTGTTCAGACATTTCATTCTGAATTTGCTAGACAGAGGATGATGACAGGTGGGTGTCCAGCCCTCCATAACATAAATTCTAGCTACATGCATGGATGTGCCATGTCATTCTTGGCCAGCTACCGAAAGGCAAGGGTGATGCAGCCTAGGTTCTTGTGTCCAGAAGGCCTGGCGATGTACAACCACAACACATGGGTTGCAGTCCATGTCGGTAGTAAGGCACGGCTCGACACTCATTGTTGTAGGATGAGTGGAGGCTGGGAAGCCTTTTATACTGACCAGGGGCTGACAGTAATGAGAAGTGAGTCAGCCAGTCCACACTGTGGCCAGTTCACAGCAGCCCACAATTACGATGTTATCATCCTGGACTGTGTGTTCCTTGTATAACTCACAGCCAGCAGTACATATATAGGAGGTCCTCCACACAACCCAGCGGCCCCCTGTGGATAGCCACATGCTCAATGTGCTCCATCCTGTTGCATTGCAATCAGCAGTTTCCCAGAACCAAGGTGGTTTTCTCCAAATATGAATACAGATGAAAGATGAGCCACCATCTTTAAATAACTTTTTTGAAAATCTAATAGCAATACGTTTTGTAAGGAGGCTATGGATTAATATCAACTGGAAAGAAAAGAACCAAGTTGTAAGAGTTCACATTTTATTTAAGATCAGATAATTTGGAGAGAGTTGAGCTTCTGGCTGATGGCTGAAGACACATGCAAGGAAGTAGTCTTTTAACTTAACTGGGTTCTGCATACATATAAACCAACACACCATGCCTGGGGAAAGGCCAAATGCCATAAATATATATATATAAAACATTTCAGCATCAGAATGGTTAACACATAGGATAGCCTGAAAAGAGCCTATTGGTTAACCCTAAGGGATGGCTGACAATTGTTAGACTCATCAGATGAAGATAATCTCCTCAGATAGCTTTTAGGTTTGCCTAGCTGACGGCAAAAGCACAGTATACCGGTAACACACGTTTTTAGAAAGGAGTGTTTCATATACAGAGACTCATGCGAAACACTGAAAATGAAAAGATGTAAAGCTTTGCTGCATAACTGACTCACGCACTGTCAGAAATATGAAAGTCTTCTATGCTTTGGCCTTCTTTAGATCATTCCTTATTTGTGCCTCCCCTCCTCTTTGTTTCAGATTGCAATTTAAATCAAACTCTTTTCTGTGACTGTCTGTTAAGCAGCATTTAGGTAAGTCCCATTTTTTTCCACAATTTTAAATTATATCTATATTTATATCTCTGTATACCCTAGGAAATCTATACCAGCAGGGCACTTTACAGAGTAAAATACATGTGATAATCTTTTAAAACCAAAGAGAAAATTGTTTCAGCAGAGGAACATGTGAAATTGTACAGAACACTAAAATTGGAATGTGCATGTATGATACATACCCAAACTCCTATTATAAAATATTCCCAGCATTTAAACCACTACTGGGTGAATTTGGGATGATATTTTATTTGCCTTCTTCTTCTTCTTTTTTAAATGAGACGTTCTTTGAAAAATGACAAAAAGGTAAATAGTTTTACAAAGCAACAACCTAATCAGTCTCTCAAGCAGAATATAAATCATGGATTTCATTAACTGTTGGTAGCCAGTTTAAATTGTAGTCTTGTCCATAATGTCTATCTATCTATGTATGTCCGAGTTATATTAAAAACCTTTAAATGGCTTTGTAATACCAGCCACATCTAGCTATTATAATAATTAATGACAGTGTTTTATAAATCAATATATGTATTCTTGATAAATTCATATCCAGTTAATGGTGTAATTTAAATAAAAAATTAATGCAATAAAGGACATACAGGCATAGGCAGAAAATCTTTAAAGGTTAAGAGGCAAATTTGTCTAAATTCTTTTTTTATTTTTCATTTTTAAAAACCTCTCATTTTTTAGGGCAGCAGGCTTGGGGGGAAGAATTGCCCGCTGAAACCCATTTGCCTAAAAGAGTCAACCTTATATTTTGTTTGCCATTTGGTTTTACTATTATCTATAATTTCGCAAGCCTGATGCTTCAGAGTCTGTACTTCTGTAGAAGATTTAGGTTACAACAAATCAGGAGTTAGAGCAGGTGCTCTCAGCATGGATTCAAGGGGTGGGGGAAAGGGAGCCCTTTTTAAAATGTAATTTTACGTTTTTTAAATTTATGAACTTCTTATTCCAGATTTTGGTAGGTGAATGTTCTTTATTATATGTGTGCTCCATATTCCATAAATATGAAAACGCAGCTCCAAAATCATAAACGCATTGCAATGATTGTGTAAATCCTCAAGAATGTTTTCAGCCAACAGAAATATGTTCCTTATCTGCTGTTCTAAGTACAGTTAATCCAGTTTATTCAAAAAAATAACATGGGAGTAACTTGGAGGGGGGGGGGAAACTTATCATCCCCCTCCTTTCCTCCCTAAGCTGCACATTCATATTAAATTACATAAAGTTTCTTTTATGGGTTATTGTATAGTTTACAGTTTATTTATAGCCTATAACAAAATGCATCCTGAAAAATAACACAAGGTTAGAAAAACAACAATGCTCACTGTGTCTTATCACCCACAGCAATCTTAAACATATAATAATAATTGTTGCTTGTTTATATGTTGAACATTAAGCAAGGAATAGCTCACCAAATTTATGCAAAAAATTAAGCATGGCTATTGAGGCTGACATGATGCAGAAATGTTACTTTAATCCGGAGAGATTTGTTTCTGACATTTTTCTTAACATTGCATTGCCTTATTTAGAACAGTAAAAGTGATTCGTCCAATCTCCCTTGACAAGGATGGAGGGCTGCAAGATCCCTCACGGAAGGAAAAAGGAATGGATTTGCTGTTCTTTCACTTTAATAATACACCTTCATAGCCAATTTTTATTGTTTAAAAGTTTACATTTGCATTTCCACATGAAATTATATATAGTTCAGTGCTTGCTGGAGGGGCAGGGAGAGGAGAGATAAAAATAAAAGTACAGTTAATAAGTGCACGTCAAAGTGAGCTGGAATAATGCAATCCATTTAAGATGTATTGTGATTTTAGGGAGAGAAAAAACATGCCACAGATTTCTAGGAAACCTAATAAAAGAATACATCAACTGGTACAGATAAGTGAAACAATGAAATATGTCAAGTTTTTAAATATATATCTTCATCTTCCATTGTATTTTTCCTCTTGGGACTACATATGTTGCTCTCAACTAGCTCCGCCTCCGGATTACACTATGCAACAACAACAACAACAACCAGCTACCTGAATCTTAGGCTTTATTAGTCTTTCAGCACTTTAAGGATATATCCTCTTCATTACATGAAGTGAAACAGCAATCTTTAAAATACTGATCCGCAAATATCTGTAATGTTTTTTTTAAAAAAGTGTTTTAATCAAATGTAGGACGTTTCATTTTTTTTTTACGTACAAATCACAATATTTCTCCACTTAAATGAATGTTGTCTGCTTTTAACTCACTATGCTCATTTTGAGGGTAAAAATCAATGTACCTGATAATTCTGCTAAAATTATTTCCCCCCCTCAGAATGTCTATCAAGCAGCCTAATATATGACCAGTTAATATTTAGATTTAGGTGGATTTAGTCTTGCTAACTTCCACAGGACTCTCAAGAAAATCCTCTACAGCTAATTGGCATATATAAAACACTTACTTTTGGAGCTCTCCTTTTTTACTCCAATGAGACCATTTTCTGGAATAGACAGTTTAAGGCTTTGCTATTGACAGGCCAAAATCCAAGCAGGGGAGTTTAACTGGTTTGTGGATCAAACATTTTGTTTCCTTGTGTGGTTATCCCCCCTTGAGCCATGTGAAGTGGATTAGCATCACACCCACAAGTTCTCTCAGGATTCAAACCTGATTTCAGAAGAAGCAGCATCCGTGTAAACAAATGCCTGTCCCAGCTGTGTAGAGTCAGCTCTCATCTGCAGGTATTTACATCCACAAAACCACATTGTGAGAGCCAAGGAAATTATGCAACAACAGTGACTTGTTAAATAGCTTTTCCTCATCAGATAAGGACAAGTTTAAGGAGCCCTCGAGGCAAAGTGTACTGATCTGGCCAGCTGACGGAGACCAAGATACAGGTAATTATTGCTATCACAGAACAATGGGTTAAAAGAAGGAATTGGCCTCATCCCTTCAACTGGACCGAGAGGGAGTTTATAAGGATATCCTGTTTGGAACATCGTAAATGTACGATCAGCTTTGGCAGCTATAAGCTGGCAAATGTGTTGAAGAAATCAGAGAACACTTCTCAGTAATAGCACAATCCAATTGGTTAAAAACATCTGACAGATATGACCATTCTCTGCAGCCCACATCATCCCAATTCCACCGGTCAGGCAGAGCATTTAAGAAAAGCAACAGTCTTCGCTGCACAGCAAAGCTGCTTTGCTTCTTCGCATTCCTTGTGAGCACCAATTCCCTGTGACTGAAAACAGTCCTTGCTTATTAAGATGCTAAAGCTTTTCCTCTAGAGGACATACTAATTTCTGTGCAGGAATCACATGGTGTTGTAGGAAGAGTCCCGGTTTCCGAGGCAGACATCATGATTTAAGGAGGCAGAAGCTGAGCATCACTGCAATTTCAGTGTTAAAAGCAGTAATCTGTTTATGAGCTTTTTGCCTGAAGTTACATAAAAAAAACCAAAACCAGAGGATGTGGGGATAAACACACACATGACAACATGCAACAACAAACAAACAGCTGGTTTAAAAGAACCAAACATTTTGCTTATAATTATTGAGCTCAGTGTAACTAACCATTCTGGGCGGATTCGCCTTTTGAGAATATTTCTCGCTTGGCGGACAGCAAGTTGCCAAAGGCTTCTTCCGTGCCATGCAGAGGATTCGAGTAGCCATGATAAGAAATGTATTGCAATTTTAAAAGGCTCATACAAAGCCACTGGGAAGGGGGTGGAATCTAAACAAAGGATGTGTAAGCAATTTCATTTATTTTGATAAACCTCCCTCCTGCTCAAGAGCATTTTGCTGTCTTTGTCAAAGTGAATGACAACAATTTGGCCAACTCTCTCTAAGCCACACTCAGCAGTGACAGGCAAATTATCAGAGGCCCTGCACTCCTTATTATCAGAGGAGAAGTCATCAGGAGGACGCGTGGAGGATCCCTCTCCCCTGTCACTATTTGTCAGTGGGACAAGGGCCACTGCTATGGGGAGCTGACAGGTAATTTCAACAATAACAATTACTCCTATTACTGGTGTCATAAACAATTCGCCCAAGGCATGACAATAGCAAAGCTTTATAATTCAATGCCATATAAATAAATGCCAGCAGGTAACAAGTAATTTAGCTCCAATCAAGCCTTGGCCCCAGCATTAATATTGTTATTGCACGAAAATGGAAAATTGAAAAAAAAAATTCAATAAGTTAATGAATTAAGAAAGGGTTCAAGGGCTAGCAAAGAGCAGCAGCTTTAAAATCACCCTTTAAGATCCATTTTGCATTTGCAATACTGTACATTTACTATTTCACAAGATAACACCAGAGGCATACTTGTGTTTCTGCCCTAGAGAAAATGTGAATTTCATTGTATTCGTGTTTGTCTTCAGTTATTAAACTTCATATTTAAAATGTACATTAAGAACCAATGCGTCCCCTGCACTTCCCTATTTGTTTTAATACAGACAAAAATCGAATTGAAGAGGTCATACGGCTTAAGATAAGCTATTAGCAGCCTGATCCACAGCCCAGTTGAAGAGGATACTGGAACTTACATCAGGTTTAACCCTGTTAAGTTCAATATAGCAGCAATTCATATTTACTAAGCCGTGAATTAGGCTAAGAAGGTGTAGTTCAAAATTCAGTACATTGTATTTTTCCTTTTCCATTCAGGTTTGATGAGACAGCAACTGAAAGTTGTTTTATTGTACATATATATGTTGCAATAAAATGCTCTTTTCTCTGTTAGTTTCCTGCCTCGCTTTTGTAAGCAGAGCCACAAAATTCAAATCCTGACATTAGCAAAATAAAGCACAAGCAAGTCTTATTACTCCATGTTGATCCGCCCAATTTGCAATTTTACTCTTTGTCCACTAAGACAATGTGGCATCACTTTGACAGGAGTAAAAGAATTTGAAAATCTCTAATTAGAAGAGCTGTGGAGCAATTAACGCATGTCAAATTTCACTTCATCAAGTGCCACTCTAATTTTCTCACTAAAAATTAATGGACTTTTTTTTTTTGTATGTGCATGTCCCCTCAAGGCAATGTTGATTCAAATCTGCTCAAGAAGCAGCGTTGCACAGCTAAGCATCTTTTTGATTACAATCCGACACACTTCTAACTGCTTTCATTCTCACTGCCACAGATACTTTGTCAACAGTCAAATTACACCACACTGATAACAATGCATAATGGTGTTCCTCAAAGGAGGTGCCTGTCATGGAAGAGTGTTTCATAAAACGCACCATCTTCTTCACTAAGAAACGCCACTGTTTTAAACCAAACTTTTTGTGTGGCTTCAGCAGCCCTTGCTCTGCATGTTTGCGTCTGTTTCATTGCAATTTAGTTAATTCTAGATCACGGGGAAAGACAGTTGTGACTGCTTAAAGATGGCAAGTGTAGAACAAAAAACAAAGGAGGATATCACTTTTCACCATTTCTTCTCCAGAACAGGTTTCTATGCAGTATCCTGGAATTGCCCAACAGCTATTCAGCAAAAGACAAAGACACTCCTCATATGAACTGCCTTGTGATGTCAGTCGTAAAAGTTTTCCTGAGCAAAAGCTGCAAGTTTTGGCAAAAATACTATAAACATAACAGAAAGTGTTCTTTTAATGGATAGTATTTGCATTCCAACAGAATTTGTATAATGGTAGTATTTGCCAGATTCCATCAAAAATAAAATAAATAATTAAAAACCGGAAGAGGCAAGTGACAAATAGCTTTTTACATTTGAAAAAATAACTCTCGAGTGTTGCAAGATGTGGAAAAATGGGCTCATCTAAACGTTTTCATTTTTAAAGTTTATTTATTTATGGTTGATATGCAAGTACAGAAAAGCTTTAGGAGAAGGAGGGGGGGGGGTTCCTTTTCTTTGATCAAAGCTGACTCTCAAAGACCTTGGAAAATTTCCAGTTATTCAAATGCCTTTCCCCTCCCCCAAATTAAAACATGTCTGTGTTGAACCACTAATTAGTGACTTAACTACCGTAATATACAACTTTGCTACAAATGTCAAACGTTATCTTTTGTGTTTGATTGCTTCTCATCATTTTAAACATCTTATATTTACAGGTTTTTATGCCAAATTCATCTCTGTTGCTGGAACTTAATTAACCTGAATGGAAAGAGACCATTGGATAATAGTTCACATTTTCATTATATTCCCTTACCGTTTTGACCATGTTGCCATTAACAGCTTGGTGCAACTTTATAACAATGTCTTGCAATCCACAGATGTCTCCTTTAGAAAATGTTCAGACATTTTCAGAGTTCTGGGGACAGTCATATAGATTTTTCCTTTGTCCCATTTCTGGCATTTATGTTCATAGAAACCAGATCTCAACACAAACTGCTGAAGCATTTAAAACTCCTCAGTGATGGTGGGATGGAAACAGCGTCATCAAAAGTTAAGCAAATCAAACTGATAAGACGTGTTTCCTTCTTATTAATGGTGATTCTATATTCCTTAAAAATGATAATGTGGGAATTTGACAAGATATATAATATACACTGCATATCAAAGACCATTTTAAAACATACAATCATTCTGGCATTTAAACAGTAAGCAGAAAATAAATTGAATGTGAGGATGAGGTAAAGCAATACACGGATAAAAAATTGAAAATATAACTTCAATGCAAAACAGTTTTTTCTTCAGGATTTTTGCTTTTGTTTTTAAAATGCTAAATAAACAATACATAATGCATCCCTCATCAGCCGCGAACCGTGAGGGCTCTGCTCTCAAATAACAGGAAACATATTCAATTTTCCTAACAGAAGACAGTTCATTAAGCTGTGCCACATCAAATAAAACTTTAATTTCTTCAGCATCCGAGTCGCAATGAAAGCAATTGATGAAGATGAGCCATATGGTACTTCTATCAGCAAACACATATTGCTCATTCCCCAAAAGTTTTCTAATTCTGCTCCCCAGGCCTGTGTAATATAGATAATGTGCTCTGAGAGCAGCAACCATGAGCTATCTGGTGTACATTTCTAATACTGTATTTAATGGGAAATAATGAATCATAAAAGCCTGCGGAAGGCTGCTTTTGCTAACCTAAATCTCAGCTGTAATTTCATCGTTCTGTGCCTAAGATGCAGTTTGCCCTTTCTAAACAACAGCAACTGAATGTAATAATGCAGCCACTTCAAACCCGGGTGGGAGGAGAAATCCTTCTTAATAGACCCAGGCTTTGTTTAACTCTTGAGGCTCCAAAGACACAGAAACTAGGGTTAATAAAAGAGTATTGTATGCTATGAAAATATTACATACATGTGTACACAGGCACACAGGCACATGGAAATACTTATTTTCATCTGTATCTATATTTTGAAAAAAAAAAATGAAGCTCTTCCAAACAGATAACTAAATGTGTGTGTGGTGGGGGGAATGATTTGAGACTCCAAAATTTGGAACTTTTGTGGTAGCAGCTGCAAACACCCAGACTTTAAAATGATTTTTTTCTATGTACAAAAAATTGAAGGACAATTCGTGAATGAACAAGCCCATATAAAAGTATCAGTTTACAAGGTTAGGTACCGGTATATTGTGTTTAGATTTATACATTACTGATTCATGCAACTTTTTTTTTTTTTTACAAGCTTCTAAATTATATTTTTATATCCAAAGAGGATTTAAATATCATTAATTGCTAAGCAAAAATAGATGGGTTGAAGTTAAACTTTACATGGCTCAGTCATGCAGAGTGTGCTGTTCTGAGAATGTCCTTAAATCTGCAAAAAGTTCAGACGTTAAGCCAACACGTTTTCTTAAAGATATGGTACTTCCACCATATGCATTGGAAACATATTTAAGTGAATGTGTTTGGCAATATATGAATCCCAAACAATCACATTGCAAAGGAAGCGTTTGGAAAGTTAGAGACTGCCTTTAAAAGCTTATTAAAACCAGCATGTTCCATGTCTGTCTTTGAATTTAGAGATGTGATTGCCTTCATTAATGCTGCCTGTTTGGGTGCTTTTCCCGCAAATGTTTTAAGTGCCGGCTTTCTCCACACCTTCTCTCGCCCCAATGCTGATTCTCACTAGCTGTCCACTTGGGAGTTTTCTCCCCGTAAAATCTCAAACAACAAATTAATCTTCCTTATGCAGCAACATTTACCGGCAGGTGAAATATACCAAAACAACACAGTATTGAATGCAATGTCCTCAAAGAAGAGGTAAAATAAACCTGACCATCTCCAGTGTGGAAAAAAATAAATACCCATTTCCAAAACGAAATAAGCACATTGATTATATTGCATGAATGTCTTAAAAACAAGTGTTTAAAGACTCCCACCCCCCTGTCCCCCCTGCTCCAAACAGCGCAGAAACCTCTGCCTGCTCCGATGGGTCACAGTGACAATGGTCTATTGCAATGTAAAACAAGCTGCGGGATAAAAAGGTGCTTTCTGTTACCATTTTATCAAAGCTGTTCATCTTCTAGCTGCAGGCAGCATTTTGCCGGAATTGCAGATATTTCTCTGTCCAGGCGCCTTTGTTTGTGCATCTCATTTGCATATATTTATCTCCAGCTGAGGGTGCTTTCAGCTCATTAAGGCCTCCCCTCACATTATTTCATAAGCCAGCTGCTAGGAGGGATTTCACCTGTGGTGAGTGAGAAAAGAAGGGTAGAATAATAGTAATAATAATAATAATAATAATAATAATAATAATCCAAACACACAACGCAGCGCACCCCCCCCCAATTCTTCATAAAAAGGAAATTTTCGGACTCTCTTCCCCTATAAATGGGCACCATTTGTGTTAAACAGCTTCTTGTCATGATAGATGCCTCCGAGGGTCAGGGGTGAAAGTTGATTTGAAGGTCAGCAGTAAAACAACAGACAAACCAGACGCCAAACTGGTTCCTGAGCTGTCGGTGGGAGCGCTGGTACAACCAGGTCTTGAACCTTTTCCAACCTCTAATAAAACAGGCTAAGAATCTGAAGTGGATCAAGCAGACCCCAGAGGAAGATGCGCAGAAACACACACAAATAATATCGATATCAAGCAGCAACGAAAAACAACGTGGGCAGCTGTCCCGCAGTACAGGCATGCTCCTATTGTTTCAAGAGCAGGGGAATTAATTCCACTTATTTATTTAAGGCGTGTCAACTCACTGCCTAAACCTGTTTCAGTGTCAAGATGAATAAAACTTTTATGGCTCATAAAATGGAGTAATTCATCTCAATGTTCTTTGTGGTGCTTTCCCCCCTCCCCTGGCATAGAGAGATGGGTCTCCGTTCGGAATGGTTGAGGCCAAATGTACTGTTGCTACGGGATGCACCATACGAAAAAAAGAGGGGGGCCCCAGCAGCAGAATTATTTGACTGGCAAACGGAGAACGGCACAAACAATAAAGCAGAAGAGGTTAGAAGCTGAGTAATCGCCTCCAAAATTCTCACAGGCAGTGCCTCCCTCGCCTGCATTTGCAAGCCTGCCTCGCTGCAAGCAGGGAGCTGCAATGTTGACCCTAAAACATTTAAAAATAAACAAATTCCAGGGAGGAGTGCGTTTTGGTTTTTTTTGCACATTACATTGCTCACCTGCTCTGCCATCCATTTGCTTATTAAATTGGCCCTTCTCAGTTTTGCACTAGTGCGAACAATACGAAATTCTTACATTTATTAAAAAGCAGACCCAATCTCTTAACTGTAGACTCGTCTGAGTTTGCTACCCAGGTGTGGGGCTCGCAGCTAATAAAGCCTCATGAACCAATTCTTCCCACCCACCCAGGATGCGTTTAGTTCACAGTAGTTGTAAAAAGTATAGCCTGAAATTTAATGCATTTGAATGTGCCATATCTGATGAGTGAGAAGCAGACTCTCTCAAATAGCAAAGCTTAAATGGATTATCCAGGTTTGTAAAGGGAGGGAAAATGTACCTGCGACTTGTTTTAAATAGAACGAGGACACCTTTGAAGCAATGGGAAATAATTTACAGCAGAATTGCCGCCCTGCACCAAAAAAATAAAAGGCAATTTCAATTTTAAGAAATGTCTGTAAAATAAACTTTTATGACATGTCTGTAAAATAAATATTCAAATATTGGTCTCTGCTTAGATATATCTATGATACTTAGTCATTGGTTTGTTTATAGTGAAAGGGAATCTGGAATAAACAAATGCCATTTTGTTTAGTGCTTCATCCAAAATGCTCATCACAATAAGACTGTGTTTTCATTGTGTGAATTGCAGGTTCTCTTCAAACTTGCGTTTCCTTTACAAATTCAGATCACTGTCACTTTTTCAGCATTCGCTGCCTACAGTGTGAAGACATCCCCATTTTTAGCTTCAGCTCATCTTATCCGAAACAAGCCTTGACTCAAAAAAACTCTGAAACATGAAAAATAGGAGATATTCATAATGACCAAACTCTGCCTCAGTAACAGCTTGCATTTCTAACTTGGCCTGCATTTAAAAGATTTCCTTTTATTTCACCTAAAGAAAGAGTGTCTCTGGCCAAAATGCCTTTAAAACTTTTGAAATCTTGTTCATACCTTGATTTATTTATTTTTAACAACTTGAATAAGTTCATTACGGCTATTTTGGCGTTTGTTCTCTCTTAAGAAACACAGAATACACCCCAGATCCCAAACAGATCTCTTACTCCCCCAAAAGATCTTTAACCATGTTTCTCATTTTTCTTTGCCTCTAATCTAATCGCTAATTCCTTCACTTGGTCAAGAAGTTAAAAATGTTAAGTGCTAGCAGCGCCTCCTTCCTCCCCCTCATATCTGTCTCTGTTTATGGAACGGGCCCTGGTTTCCTCCCTCGCCTGTTCAGCTCCAGGTCTTCAGGTCAGGAGACTGTAAATACACACAGCACTGCCCCAACCCATAAATCTGAGCAAAGGGCAGGCATATATATTCAGATAAGCAATGTGGAGGGGAAAGAAAGGAAAGACAGAACAAACAGAGTCTGTAGAGCGCCAGGCGTTTTCCTAGAAACAAAATTAAAATGCCAACAAACCTCTCCGTAAGGCAGTAGAAGGAGAGAAGTCTTCTTGCTGAACATCGGCCTCTAAAAGATGAGTTTGGAATCATCACCGTTCTCCTCCCACTGTTTATATACAAATGAGTAAAATAAATGCATTTTATTGCCTTCGAGACAGGGAAAACAAACAAAGGTATTGCACTTACATTCCTGCATGCTGTTCTGGTGTCTCCCAATTGCAACCGGTTGTTTTGGTACCCAGTTCCTCACCAACTTAAGAAACCCCAAGAACAGCACTAATTCCTTTCTACAACAATCCTAATCCCGGGGAGGGTGGGGTACAAATAAATTATTATTGTTGTTGTTGTTGTTGTTGTTGTTGTTGTTGTTGTTGTTATTAAAGGACCCAATGAGACAGTGCTGAAACCACCTTACCAACCCCCCTCCCAATAATAATCAATTATTTCATCAAATAGGATTTGGTGCTAATGTTTGCCAAATGGCACATGCATCGTCGACACTCACCTCTCAACATGTATGCAAATTGTTGACATCCTATAGTAATCTAAATTTCTGGGTGGCTTTGGCCGACCGCCATGACGGCAGGATACCCGCACCTGCCCATTCCTAGCATCTGAGTAGATAGGTTTTAATGCTGGGATCAAGAACAAGCTAGGAAGATGTCAGCATTTCACAAAGCAATCTAGGTAAGAATTGCAGTTGCCTCCTTGTAGTGTTGGCTGGTGTTCCCCGAGCACAGAAAGCAGAATTGACTGACATTTTGCTCTTACAGGAACACACCAAACTTCACAAAGCCTTCCCTCCTCAGCTCAGTCAGGCTGACATTTCCTCACACTGCTCTCATATTCACCTCTCCTACTCTCTGATATCTGGTGTAAATAGGACCTGCTATTAGACAGCTTTCCTTTTTCACTTTGATTCAGGTGAGGTGTAACATACTGCAGATGTACCAGTGAGAGAAGCCATTGCACTAAGGGCCTTTTTCCCTTCCTCAGTTGAAAAAGAAGTGAAAACTTCAGTTACTTGGCAGCCCTCTGCAGAAAATCATAGCAGAGAGAGCGCACAATTTATTGTAAGGCCAATTCCCTCCCCAGTATGGTGGGTGTTTTCGGGTTTTTTTGCAGTTACTTGAAACAAATGTAAATCAATTGTCATTAGTTCTGGCACCATACTGGCAAGTTGTTGAATTAAAGGTTTTCAGTCATATGACAGAAGTTGTCTCCTTCCACACACACAAACATTCCAGGCCTAGTCCTTTTCCATTAAAAGGATTTAGAAGAACATTTTTAAGGTTTCCAAGCATTTCAGAGTATTAGTGTGGGTTTTTAATTTAACTTTTTAAAGTCAAATTTTGATTTCATACATATTAGAACTGAAAAAACTTTTACATTTAAAATAGATTGTTACACGAAACTGTCATATCAGTATTAGTTCCCTTGGTGGAAATGACTGACAGACAAATGGGGAAAATGACAATTTGTTAATACATATCCAAGAAATTAGTAATAAATAGTTTCTTAATAAAAAAAATCTTTCCACCTGAAGAAGTGTGAATGCACATGAAAGCTCATACCAATAACAAACTTAGTTGGTCTCTAAGGTGCTACTAGAAGGAAATTTTTTATTTTGTTTCGACTACGGCAGACCAACACGGCTACCTACCTGTAACTACCGGTAGTTTCTTAATATTTACTGATATGATGAATAAGACTTTTGCATTTTCTCTATGTGGATTTTAATTTATTTGACCTGAGGTAATTACCTAACTTTAAATTTTGGGTCTTCTAAAGCAGGTATTGGTTTATGTTCTGCCCTATTGTAAAATTATCTGCACCACAGAAATGTTTTAAACGTTTGCTTAAATGTTCAGTAGAAAAGCTCTCTAAAGTGCAATTGGCTTTTAATCTGCATGTTTTTCTTTACTGCGTGGGTCCAGGTTATCTTAATATCCGCCTGATCCATTATGTCCCGACCTTATCACTGAGCTTTGGGGGATAGTCTTTGTTGGTGGTCTCCCATGGCTCAGATGCATGGTTTGTAAGTACAGTGGTGCCCCGCAAGACGAATGCCTCGCAAGACGGAAAAACCGCTAGACGAAAGGGTTTTCCATTTTGAAGTTGCTTCGCAGGATGAATTCCCCTATGGGCTTGCTTCGCAAGACGAAAATATCTTGCGAGTCTTGAGATTTTTTTTTCGCTTTCCCCCCCCCTTTATCTAATCTGCTAAGCCTTTAATAGCCTTTAATAGCCTTTTAGCAGCTAATCCCCTAAGCCTTTAAGCCTTTAATAGCCGCTAAACCGCTAATAGCGCTAATAGCGCTAATCCGTCAATGGGCTTGCTTCGCAAGACGAAAAAACCGCTAGACGAAGACTCTCGTGGAACGGATTAACTTCGTCTTGCGAGGCACCACTGTACCAGAATCCATACCTTCGGTTTAGTGGGCTCGAGACGGTGGAGTTGACAGGCACCTTCCTTACTGAACTTCAGGCCCAGGAATAAGACTTTCTTGTTCCATCAGGCATTTTAAGGTAATATTTGGTTTTATGATTATTTTTATTGTCTTATTGGCTGGATAGCTCAGTCAGTAGAGCATCAGACTTTTAATCTGAGGGTCCAGGGTCCATGTCCCTGTTTGGGCAATTAATTTTGACTGCTGGGATAGCTCGGTCAGTAGAGTATGGGACTTTTAATCTCAGGGTTATGGGTTCGAGCCCAACACTGAGCAAAAGATTCCTGCATTGCAGGGGGTTGGACTACATGACCCTCGTGGTCCCTTCTAACTCTACAATTGGATGATTAGGTTTTCTGTGAATTGTTTTTATGCGTACCACTCAGAAATATGAATAAATAAGCAGTATAAGGTAAAGGAAAAGGGACCCCTGACCATTAGGTCCAGTCGCAGACGACTCTGGGGTTGCGGTGCTCATCTCGCTTTACTGGCTGAGGGAGCCAGCATACAGCTTCTGGGTCATGTGGCCAGCATGACTAAGCCGCTTCTGGCGAACCAGAGCAGTGCACGGACACACCGCTTACCTTCCGGCCGGAGCGGTACCTATTTATCTACTTGTACTTTGACGTGCTTTCGAACTGCTAGGTGGGCAG